TAAGTATAGTATTAACGAGGAATTTGTACTTTACGCGTTAGGTTTAGCGGTATCGAGTATTAACACAATTTAGTTGCACCTTATTAATGAGGTATCCAATACTTTACAATATAACTGCCAATGCTTGATAGTCTGTCCATTAGTGCCATCGATGGTGGTAAGGTACTGCCGGAACCATCCCTTATATCAACGAACCATCTAATTTAATTAAGGTTGTCACATTTTTATTAACAAATGAGTACTTTTCTATATGCAAATACTAGTCGACATACTGAAATTTATGCCTTTTTATAATCTGTTGAAAACTGGAATAGCAACCCTGAATGCAATACAAGCACAAATCGGAAGTAGAAATGTGAGCTTTTCTTTGGGTCGCATATAAAATCCTTTCAAATGGGAAGGTAAAGATGTACTTTTTAGTTCATGGTCAAATAGCAAGCAATTCACACCTTGGTTAATTTGCAAAAGAATTAAATTAAGAAGTTCAAAAACGAGGGAGGAAGCTTAGAGGTATTATTAACAGTAAATTTCCTCACACAGTTGCATTACATTTCATCTTATTTCATTATATTTAATTGGCCGTATTTATACGCCCTTTTACTAGTGTATCACTGTGATCTACTGAATGGAACATACTTTATATTTATAAACATTATCGTCGTATAGCAGCAGCCGTAATAGTTTAGATAAACTTTAACCATATGGTGAATAATTCCTTATGTCTGTCCACGGCACGTGGGAAAAAGTTTTATGCAGAAATTTGATAGCTACTGCTCGCGTACGCCGACCGCGTTTCATCTTTAGGCATCTGTTATCAATGAAGACAAAATACTGAAACTTTACACAACTTTTGAAATTATAATAACCTGCAAGACGCATAATCATATCACACTCTGTCTACATAGAAGCATGTTTTTCTGGATATATAAGTTAATTTGAATCAAGATGGAAAAGAAATAAATCAACCCGTCGCTTAACAACGATCAGGGTTGGAAGCACACATGATACATGGGGGACAACTCTAATTAACTTACTTGTGTATTGCTTTAGTCCATTAAACTTTTTGATAAGCTACATTGAACATCTGAAATCACAAATATAAAAAAGTTCGATTAGAAATAAATAAAATAAAACGACACGATTTTATTCTGCACTGACCATTTGTATTCTAATTTAATTAAGATTGTACAATTTAATTTTTTTGGTGCGTGTCACTGTTTGTGTTATACGACTGAGACTTCAGTGTGTCTCAGTATTAGATAATCTAAATCTAGTTATTTGCATATAGTAAAAAACAGTTTAATACATTCTTTGAAGATCGCTGAAGGTGAAAAAATTGCATAATGTAAAAACTTTTTGGCACCAACCTAAAATTATTTTAAAGGGTCATGTATTTCATCAGGGACATGATATATCATTCAAGATTTTACATCCAGTCTGGAGGTTCACATTTATGGATATTTAGGTGGTGACCAGCTTCAGAGGTTTTCAGTCACTCTTCAGGCAAAGTAAGAGCATATGAAAGTAAGCTAATACTCCAGCCCCTCTGCAATTGGCGTAGGGGCAAATTGAAAAGTGGCAAGAAAACAAATAAGATAAACATCTATATTTTAAATCTAGTCGTCAGTCACTGTGTACTTTATTCGTGGTTCCTACACCCATGACACTACACTTAACAAACAAAAATACAATACGATACAAAAAAAAAAAAAATGAAATATACAAACTTTTAACAACAGAGATGTTTTGCGAACTATAGAGTTTATAATTAACTAAAGAGTTTATGTAATTCATGTCTCTGTAATTAATAAGTAGACCAACGGTTCATTTTACATTTCATATTTTGGCGCCTTGCAAGTTTTCACAATACTTTTCCCTCTGAAGGTTGGAATGTGTGACTCCAGAGGCAGAAGTTTACAGGACTACAAAATCCTAATAAATAACAAACGATAAATTGTCGCTGGTAATTTTGGTTGGTAATTACAGAGACATGCAAATTAACCGAGAATATATTTTCGATAAACAAAAGGCATACAAAAAAATCTTGAAAAACAAGGTCCATAATATTAAAAGACGTGGAAAACCCGCTCTCAAAATCCAGAATGGGAGTCAAGAAAATATTATAATGATATTTAACCCGGCGATGTTAGTTAAAATCATTTGCTGTATCTAGGTTTATGTTAGTGTAATAGTCTCAGGTTGTATTCAAGAATAACCAAAATATAAAACTTGGAGCATATTTGTTGCAGTCAAAGTAGTTCCAGTTTCGAAAATAAAAAGTTCTGATAATGGTTTGTTAAGCTGTCCAAACCGCACGAAGGCTAATGGTTTTATTTTATAAGAATTAATAGTATTACTGTAAATGCTCTTTTGTTCTGACGTCCGGGCGGAAAGAACTAACTTGCCGAAAAGTTCAGGAGGAACTTATTAACTAGTTAGAAAGTTCCTTTTTCCCAAATTAGTCAAAACCGGAACTAACAAACTAGCCCAAAAGTTCCAACGGAACTTATCAACCAGGCAGAAAGTTCCATTTGGAGAATTGATGCAAAGTAAAAGAGCAACATATTATATTTGAACCTTTCAAAGGGAAACCAAGATACTGATTACAAAAGTCAAAAGGAACTTATCAACTAGCCACAAAGTTCCTCTTTGGCAAATAAGTCAAAACCGGAACTAACAAATTAGCCCAAAAGTTCCAACGGAACTTATCAACCAGTCACAAAGTTCCATTTGGAGAACTATATAAAGATAAACAACAGTATAAAAAACACAACATAGAAAACTAAACACTGAGCAACATGCACCACATCAAAAACCAGGGGTAATCTCAGATCCTACTCCACTTGTGGCACCCGTTGTGTTGCTAATGTAAATACAAACCCAGTGATAAGTAATTTGGTAGGTCACATTCAGGGATTAGGAGAACCGGATTGTGGTTACGACGATACTGCAAAGGGCGTTCTGTTAAATGGGAAGAAGAAACCAAGGAGACAAAAAACCCCAACTTGGAATAAGCCAAAGAAAAACTAAACAATACCATGGCCAAAAGACAGACCGTCAACAAAACAATGTAAAGAAAACTAAAGACTGAGTAAAACAAACACCGTGAAAAAAAGGTGGGGGATGAACTTCAAGGGTCAGCATAGTGACACTTATGTTACTTGTATTAAAATGTTGATATTTCCTATCAGGTGATTATTCACCTAACAATAAGATTGGTAAATGTCTCTTGTCAACCTTAAGACATCATCAAATTCCTTAAAAAAATGCTTCAAAATGTCAAAAAGAATATGTTTGTTTGTTTGTTTAAATCATCAGAACTTGTATATTATCCAAGTCTTAAACTTGACTGAATGCGAAAGTTTGATTTTCAGAATAAAGGATAAACGAAACTGTGTAATTGGTAGAATCAACTCAAACTTTAAAAAGATAAAAAGCAAAAAATATAAAACAGCAAAATTAAGCAGAGGCAACAGTAATTCCATTACAACAGAATCAGAAGCTACTTTTTTTCTGCTCATTCTTGCATTTTATGTTTTAGTGGGGAGGATATATGGTATCAGCATTCCATGATATTCAAAACCATACATGTAGAATCCAGAGTTTAAAAAGAAACTTCTTATGACATTATACTATTTCATTATAATGAAAACTAAGAAATAGTAGAATTTCTTTTTTTAGTTATTCAATTTCTAATCAGAGACCCCCATTGCTTAAGACATTTGTAAAATCGACAAAAATTAGAATGACACCCATTTTCAAGTTGTTTCTAGCAATAACAAGCTTTTTAAAATTTCTGAATCCTCGCATCAATTGCAGGTACTAAAATTTTACTGTATGATAATAAATATAATGTGAATGATTTGGATTAAAATGTTGATTCACATTAGACTAAAGATTAAGGAGAGAATTCTTCCTTTGAATATTCCAGAGACATATATATGTATATATATGTCTCTGAATATTCTTACCCATGATATGACTTTAGCTAATATACAGAATAAAAATCAGTTTTAAACACCTGAAAAACTTCTTTTGCAGTATTTTGTGTATAATTTGGTTAATTGTTTTATGACAATTATGCTTGAAAACTTTTTTTCTACATTGCTTACATACAATTTAAAATGATTACATTTTTATATTACTTACATACAATTCAAAATGACAATATCCTAAAATCGAATAGCAGTAAATGTTTCCTATTAAAGAACATGATATACTTGATCATCAATACATTGGATATGGTATTATTTTAATACATGAAATAGTGAAAACAAGTATGAGAGAAGTTTAAAAGGTGTTCATAATAATTTAAATGGTTGAGAAACATGCTCGATACATACCAATACATAGATGATACTTTGTTCACAAAGTTGTGTGGGTTTTTTTATATTTTAAAATTCAATGCCTATTTTTACTATTTATGTCATCTTTCACATTCCTTGATATTTTCCCACAGTCTGTTTATATTTGAATGTACACCAATATATTAATCTCAACCTTAGATTTATCAGTGACATTTGACCTTAGACCAAGGCAATTAGAAATTTGTTGCTAGATTTGTTTCATTGAAGACAAAAGATCACATAACTGCAAGTAATCTTTATTGAGATAAATCAATATCTGTATTAATATATAGCTGTTACTTTTACAATGTCTGTCTAATAAATAAGATACCTTCTAATCTATTTTAATATAAGATAATAATCTGTTATAAGCCTATAATTTATTGATTATAATGGAACAAATTTAAAACATAATTTTTGGGGCATTAGGCTTATTTTTGCCCAATGTACACATTGATGAATTGACCATTTAAGTTTATCTTCTTTTAAATTGGATGAGGAGGCAATTTTTGTGAATTTGAATTTTTTTACATCACATTTTTCAAATTCCACTAAAACTTTACTTTGATAAAGAAAAAATGAAAATGAAATAGAAATGAAAAAAAAATGACAGCAGTGAGAGATTAATTTTAATTTATTTTTTATTTTTCATAGATTGATGATAAAACCCTTGTATATAAGACTGATAACCATAGATGTAGATTTGTTTGTCCTGAAAGTCCCATGTGGTGCAACCCTGTTGATAAGTATGAGGTAACACTAATAATTTGTATAATTTTTTGTTTATATTTATATCTAACACATGGAACTCAGTGTTACTATTAATAGATATGATGCAAAACTGTAACAAAAGAACCTGGGAAAAGTTTCTCAAACAGATGTGAAAAGATGTCTAGGAAGTGAACTGTTTAATTAAGTTTAAAAGCTTCTATTTATTTTTAAGATATGTGCACATTTTAAATGTCTATATAGAAATATTTAGACTGATTTATATATATGTTATTACTACATCACTGTGTGAAACGTGATGGTATTTATCAGATAAAAAATAAATTGTTCTTTCTATGTTCTGTATTTGGCTATAAACTGTTACTTATATATTATATGTATCTCTGTGTGAAATGTGATGGTCTATATCAAATAAAAATAACCTTTTTCATACTTAGTTCTTTATAAGGAAATAAACTCTTAAATTTCGAATAAACAGCAAATATATAATGCTACAAGATGATTAAAACAATACTTATAAGGAATTTATTAGAAGTATGTGGCTTTTACCTCTAAAGTCCCCCCTTTTTCCTTGGCTCAAATGTCTGGATCTGTCACTTAGATAAATAATTGATGTTATAAGGAATTCTCAAAAAATGTAAATAAGATGTTAAAGTATTACTGGTGCACTTAGGGTCCAAAGCAACTAAAACATGTTTAGCCACTTCAAAGAAAAAAATATATACAGAAGATCATAGATATACCCAACCACATCAAAAATAATTTAATTGTTTGTCCTGTTATTGTTCCTGACAGTAGCAACAGCCTATTTGCTGTTAATTCCAATGGGAAGAAATCTTTCAGCAACAATTTTTCCCCTTCAAAAATAATTACAAAATTGCATCGTTTTATTACAGAATCACCTGTGGTGAGAAAATATTGACATGCAATATTCACTTCATTATCCACTCCTGTGCCTACAGTAATATCCATATATGAATTTCCAATTATTGTCGTATTAACTGTTACAATAGAGACACACAATGTGATAAAATAGTTGCTAAGGACTGTATATAGAGAAATACTGTTTCCATTAGCAGTAAAATTAATATGGAAGAAAAAATATTTTCATCATTTATCTGTGAAGGAATAAATTAACTTTATTATTTAAAAAGTTAAAAAAATCTCTTGTGTTGTACATCAATCATACTTCAATTGCTTCATTGTTTTCAAACATTTGATAATCTGTGTAATCAATTCTGATAATGCTTTTTAAAGGCATATTTTTTCTTGTTTATACTGCCCAATGCTAAATAATAGCATTTTTATGCCCCCGCCGTAGCGGAGGGGGCATGAAGTTTTACCCATGTCCGTCTGTATGTCCGTACATCTGTCCGTCCGTACATCTGTCCTTCCGTACATCCCACAAATTGGTTTCCGTTCTCTAACTTTAGTTTGCCTCAACCAAATGTTATGAAACTTATACACTATGCTTATTACCACAAAACACAGATCAAGTTTGCATTTTGGTGGCGTCACTTTTATTGTTCTAGAATTATGCCCCGTTACAAATGTAAAAATTGCTGAATTTTTCATTTCCGTTCTCTAACTTGAGTTTGTCTTAAAACTAAATGTAATTTTAAAAAATATCAATGTCAAGTAATTCAAGTAATTTTTAAATTTGGAGTTATCTTCCTTTGTCCATGATTATAGTTGAATCAACTACAAAGTTTGCTTCGACCAAATGTTATGAAACTTATACACAATGCTTATTACCACAAAATTCAGATCAAGTACAAATTTGGGTAGCGTCACTTTTACCTTTCTAGAGTTATGTCCCTTTAAAAATGAAAAAATTGCTGAATTTTTTGTTTCCGTTCTCTAATTTTACTTTGCCTCAACCAAATGTTATGAATCTTATATACAATGCTTATTACCACAAAACACAGATCAAGTTTGAATTTTGGTGGTGTCACTTTTACCGTTAAGTCCCTTTATAACATTATATGCAAGTGGGGGCTTCATCTGTGTTGTCCATGGACACATTCTCCTTTTATCTTGAGCATTTTCTAGAAAATAAACTCACCATAGATGCAGATTTTGATTTAGTCCTTTTTAAAGAAATGCCCACATTGAGTTAAGGCTCTTGATTTTTCACATAATATTTTAAAAATTGTTTTAGATATGAGTATGGAGGGAAAACCTCAATCAAATGTATGGGAAATTTTGTGGAGTTATAGACCACTAACTAATGAAGATTTCACTTTTCATTAGTTTTACTTTAAATGTTCTAGAGTTATGGCCCTTGATATAAAAAAAAACAATGTAAATGTTAGTCCAGATTCCAAATAGAGAATCCTTAAACAATGTATGAAAAAATTTATGGAACATCATGGACAAAATAAAGTACAATTTAGCTTTGATTTGATAATTGCCATCCCCCTTTTTTCATTAAAAAGAGAAACTCTCATCCATTTTTATAGAAATATGGGTTGTGTTAACTTTTTTGTAATTTTTTTTATTGTTCAAGAGGCATGGTCCTTCAAATCCCCCAAAGTCAACTTCTCATTGTCTGATTCTTTAATTTACAAGGAAATGCTGAATTGGATTTACCACCAAGTCAGTCAGACAAAAGACTCAGTAATGTACACAAACTATAATGTAAAACATTTAAAATAAATATGATGTAATATTAAATAGAACTATGTACAACCCACATTTAACTTTGAGCAGATTTAATATTATTTATGAAGACTGAAAATTTGTTACAAGAGTTTATCAGAAAATTAACTTCTTCTTGATTGCTTATGCAATGAATTAAACTTTTAAATTACAAAATAGTGAGTATTCTAAAGATTTGTAAAATGGAAGAAAGAACTGATTTTGTATTTTGCTGGTCTTTCATTGCTATTGTGCCAATCTTTATAAACCAACGTGCTTAAAAAGCTGCTACAGACTTGTTATATCAAATTTATTTCAAGCTCAGTGGATCATTCTGGAAGTGAATGATGCTTGAAGGTTAACTGCAGGATTTGATTAAAGACGTCTGTAAGAGGATGCATACTAAATAAGTAATCAATATTACCAGTAGAAAACAATGATATGCACACATCCATGCATTATTGATAAGTGTTTTTTAATTTCAGATAATCAAATTTCTCTGAGTAAGACCTTTAGGATTGTCTGATCAATGAGTTTGAAGTTCATCTCGAGAATGATTTATAAGAAAATGATGTGATGAACAATTGAGAGAAGATGGTCTCAAATGGTCTGTAGAAAGCAATAACATGAAAGCAATATCTAATTGATAAGTTGTCTGATTAAAGTGGTCCATTGTTAAATGTTGCACACCCTTCTTACATTGGTATTGGTAGTTAGGCACATGTTTACTTGGCCTAACCTGTGGTAACACCTTTCTGTTGTCTGATTAATTATTTGATATTACAGGTTTGCATGTTACATTTTGTGCATAGTTAGCAATAAACTGTACAGATAATCAAGGATAAAAAGTAATAGCTACAATCTATCTTATGCATGAAATTTTAATTAGTTTGTGTCTACCCTTGTTTTGTGCTGTTATTGCATAACAGTTATGGGAAAAAACATAGAAGGGTATATAAACATGGAATTGAAATAAAGCAATTTATAAGTACACTTTAATGGGGCAGACCATCATATTCAGCAAGATTGGTTTCAAAGGAATTTAAATGGAAACAAGATTAAAAAATCATAGAACTTTAGAATTATACGCAGTCTAGAGTTTATGTATATGCTCTTATATAGATTCTACCTCTTCCTTGGGTGATATACAATATTTTTCTGCTCATAAGAGTTAAATTTTCAAATAGATAACATGTGCTTGACTAACGTTTTAAATATTAAAATTTGATGGATGAGAATGGAGAGGAATGAGATTGTGGTAGATTCTGTTTCTCTACTTATTTTAGAAGATATTGACCAATTTTGAGGTTTTTTTTATGAATGAGTTACTCTAGTTGACCCCAGGCCAATCTGCTTTAATGACGTCATTGAACAATCAGCTCTTACTGTTAAAGTAATAACATAAGTATTGTGACATCAAAAATGTATGGGAAAATGCACAAATTTAAAAGTCGTCTATTTTTCGATGATTTGCAGAAACGAGTTCTTTATGAGAGATATCATCAGGCATGGTCACTTTTTTTTGTGAAATTAAAGGAGCGATTCAAAGGTAAGCCAAAAAATTTGACGTCTTTATTGGATTTTACCTATACAAAAATAGGCAAGCAATCCACATGTTATTTATTTAAAAAATCAACTGTTCCAGTACAAATTTGCTAAGAATAAGAGAAAGAAAATTATATGCCCAGGTAATAAATACAGAGTGAAGTAAATGAGTCTGCAAGATTTTTGACTTGCACCCTCCTATTTTCAGTGGACCCTATCCCTATCCCCTTATGTTGAAAATCCTTGTTTTGCTGTTAATTAGATTTGAAAGAGATTTTGCAATTTATTGATATTAGTATGATGGGGAGGACTGTTAATTTTTTAAAAAGTTGGCAACTTTATTTTTTGTTGAACATAATTAAGTTTTATGATGGAACTAAATCATGTTTCACATCTTAAAATTTCTGTTGATCCACTCATTTCAAATGATTGATAATAGTTTTGCACTTTTAATCTCAAAAGGATTGTTATTGGAAATTTTCATTAATTAAGTCAGAATATCGGCTGATTAATTTTTCGATATCATTGGATTGCATGTTAGTTCTCATATTGCGAAATTCATGATAACATAATAAAATATTACAAATACCTTTAAAGGCAGTTGTATTAAATTATATATCTAACCAATATCTAAATGTGTAAAATGTTAATCTATTATTATTACTACCACAATTCTCATGCAGTAGTTTAATACATAATGAAAAAGGAATAATGAGATGCTTTGTCATAGTACAGCAATGTAAAATATTCTATTATATTAATATGTTGTTTAGTTGAAACACATTAAACATTAAAAAACAGCTTGCTAAAAACTAACTAAAAACTAGTTTGAAGTCACATGACTGGTTAAAACAGAATATATATCCACTATGTATCTTTGTATTGAGAACTGATCATGAATTAAACGTGCATGGTACCAAATTGTTTCTGATATGACCTTATACAGCTTAGTGTGAAAACCTATGGGAGTTGTGGGGTATTAGACAACAGCACAGCAATCCAGAGACATAAATAACAAAAAGACATCTGGATGGCACCATACAGTCTTCAACAATAGTGAAATTTCTTGACAATATGTCGAGCTTTAACTTAAGAGTTAAGTTCTTTTTGTCATTTTCAAGAAATTATCTATTATGGAGAAAATTCTAGTTGATGAGGACCTACTCAGTTAATTATTTATTCCACACTTCCTTGAAACATTGAAATTTTGGCTTAAATTTATATATTCCCTGACATTACTTCAGTCTACCCACACTATTTTCAATTTTTAAATTAAATGTACTTGTTATTTTACGTACTTATAACATTAAAAGAATAGGATGGTGCATTAACAAAAAAATCTGCTCATCCTACGTAGAAAATTTTAATTGAATCTACAATAGCTGTTCTGATGTAATTATTGCATAATGCATTGGGATAACAATCGTGCTTCACCATGCTTAAAGAAAGGATTGCTATGTCAGCATCCTGTCTATTCTGCTGTCAACTGGATGAGCAACCATGTTATATGAATGAACACGAAACTGCATGATAAATGGACATGATTGAATCCGATATAGTGACAAGAAATAAATTTTATATAGATTAATTTTATTGTAAACTGAATGATGGAGGAGAAATATTGCACTGATGTAAAAGATGAGGATTATCAAGTTTAAGAATGGAATTAGTTTACATTGTTTATATACACCATATTTGTCTTACCAAATACATGTATGAACTTTTAATCAAGCCAAACAAACATATACTTTGTTTCTATAGACATGTTATATGGTAATGTAAAACCACCTCATTTAAAAGACCCTTATTATCTTGTAATATCATCAAGGATTAATAGGTATCTTATTTTAGTCAACTGAATTTTTAAACAAGTTCCACCAAGTAGCCACCGTATCGGGTGATTAACTTTGTATGGAAGACATCTTGGAGACATAGAAAGCTTCTTTACTCGGTTGATGACACATTGTAAAGTACCGTTGTATGACAGTTATAGATACTACAGGTGGCCTACTGAAGATTTTAATCGGCAATGCAATTTAAGATGTAACTTAAATTTTGACCATAAAAATAATTGGGACGTATTGACTACATTGATATAAAATAATGATTGCAGAAGTTTTGTAAAATGATAGCAGGTTTGCTGTTCATATCAGACAATTTATCGGAGACAGGTAATGGAGAAGCACCTGTCATGATTTCTGAGGTCAACTGTCATGTAGTTCCCATTAATAGGATTAATTGTTGTCAGTTATTGAGTAGCAATAATGATCAATTATTTATTTATAGCTAAACATCTTTTCTGTTCATGAAAAATTTTCTACTGTTCTTCTTTTTTCATATATACTTATACATGTATTTATAAAGTAAGAATGATTTTATTATGCCCTCCCTTTTAACCTCAACTAAATTCAATCCTCAGAAATACTTATCTGTCAAAGACATATGAACTAACAGAAACTTCAAATTCTAAAATACAATGAATACATGAGTAGGAATAAAACAAATAGTTATCATAGCCAGGATGTCATATGTGTAGATTGCACACATTGCTACTTGATGTCAGGTTTGAATTTTGATGATACACTAGGTATAAAGATAGCTTGGAATCTGCCAGGTATAAGTAACGAACAACTTAAGTAATTCATCATTGATGACTATAACTAAAGTCTTGTCCAGAAAACCACATATGAAAATAAGAAGTATGATTGCCAATGAGACAACTCTCCACCAGAGACCAAATGACATGGAAGTTAACAACTATAGATCACTGTACAGCCTTCAACAATGAGCAAAACCCATACCTCATAGTAACATACATTAATTCTCAATGAAATTTATGACATCACATAAGTGATATAATACTTTTTTAATTTTTCAGATGCATTAGATCTGATGATGATTGGTGATGTAAACAAATGGTGATTGTCATTCAATTGTAAAACACCGTCACAATAGTAAGATTTTGTTTTAATTCACTCTAGGTTAAAAATGTGTTATATGAATGTATATCTTTATACCTACATACATGTTTTATGAATGTATTTCATTCATTGTTTAATATTTGTACATGCATTAAAAAAGAATTGTGAAGCTACGTAACGAAACAGAAAGCATTGATGTATTAAATCTATGTTGACCAAAGAAATAGATCAATGAAGAGATAGCATGATTTTTTGATAGCTTTATAGAAGATCGTACAATGGTGGTATTGTACAATGATAGTGATCACACAAGTTTGATCATTTATTGATATCCACTCAAATACCACCCATTCATTGCATACTTTATAACTTAATCACAGATAAGTCGAGTAGACGACATATTGAATACTTTTGTTAAACACATATTTTGCATGAAATTTTCGATAAAGGATGATAGTTGTATCATTAATATACTGTACAATCGATTGTCTCATTTGATAGGTAACAGTTAATCCTGTCATAAGTGGTTAATAACCATATAGATAGATAGTCACTCTTGAAGCAGCACTGGCCAGGTAGTTTTTATTTAAAATGATGCTTATGTCTTACATTACAGGGTATGATATTTTTTACGTATTAAGAAATATAGATTGTCTTTTCTTTGGGTTTCTTTATAAAGTACAAAAAAATTCACTCTACATCCACCAAATATGAAGTTATTATTAATGTCTCAAAATATGAAGTCTTCTATATCATGAGTTATTTTTCATAAATAATTAATCATATCATGTCGTGCAGTTATCTTTGGTGTTTATAAATTTAAGATAAGAGAACAAGTGTTATGTCCACACTGATTCAGAAATGGTGACATTCATGTTATGGATTGTTGTGTCCACTTCACCACAGATATCCCCAGTTATCCTTTAATCCCATCAGATACGATCTTAATAGTGCAGACATCATTTAAATGCAGGTGACAATATCTGTATTTGCTGCAAGTCATTAAAACGACCTGCCTTTGTTCTATAATCATTAGATTAACTTCAGTGATAAAACCCATAAAAGTTCTTGATTAGTTCAATGGTAATTAAAAGACATTGACGATATTTTGATTCACAAGTTGAATAACTGAAAAAAATCGAGCTGTATTTTATGACGAAATATTTTCCCTGTAATTTATTTTGAATGATTGAACTTGTATTACTTTGCTGCAAGGGTTGACCAGAGTTAAGCACACAGAAATTTTGATGAATTTGTGTCACCCAATTTGCACTTTCTAGCATATATATAAAAAAAGTTTAAAGAAGAATTGATTTAAGAAAACCAGTTGTTAACAGAGATCACCATTAACTTCTAATGGTCCTATAAAAACCACCTTACTTGAAAAAAATCCTATATCTTGATGGAAAAAACAAAGAATTTGATAATGATTTTGTAGAGACAGATCTCAGCCTACATAGAAATTTACAGTAATATAATCCAGTATTTATACTGACATTTTAATAACTTTCTTTTATATAAATAATCAGATATTGGTAATTTTTATTATTTTAGCCAGACAAATTCATATAAAATGCCTAATTCTAATGCTCACTAAAAGCCTAGTCTTGTATTTTTATTTCACTGCTAGATCTAACGTTTGAAAGAGGTTACTGATAAAATTGCTGAGTTGTCTGATCTTATTGATTCTTTGGTAAAATATGATGGAAGTTATAAGAAACAAAAGATGTAATTCAAAGAAGAGGAAAAGATTATTTTTTTACATAGAAGCTTTGTAATGTAAACATTTAATATAGAATTTTCCTTGTAAAAACATTTTGTTATAAAGTTTAAATTCTTTCTTTTATACATTGTAAGAAGGAAGAAATATGTTGATATGGTATTTCATTTGCGGTTTCTTGCATTAAATTGTCAGTATTGTTTAATCCCTGGAAGCAATTTCTCAATAAATTGCTATTATTATTTCATAAAGAATTAAATATTTAGTTCTAGATATTAACTTTTACTGTAGCTTAATATACACTATTGTGTAGATGTGTGTTTTTCAGTTTAAAATATTTCTTAAATATTTGATAGTTTTATCTTGGTTGATTGATTTTTTTTACATTTGGCTTTTGTTTTTTATTAAAATTTGTTTTAGTACCCTATTAATATTAATATAGGCTTTGGTTGGCCCACACATAAATACATATATTCTAAGTAAGCTGGATTAATATGCTCCAACCACTCAATTGTAAATGAATATAGTGTTACCCATATCCTTCCTTCCATCCTTTTAAAATCAAGCAGATAATTTTCCTTATGCCTATTGAAATTAAGTTGATTTTTTATTAGAGTCTTTCTGGATGACCTTCTTTTCATACTATTATTGTCCTCCAATTTTGACAGTAACCAACACATCTAGTTTTGGTTAACTCTTGTTGTTTAACATTAAGCCACCTTGTTGGTCTGTAATTAATAGCTAGCAAGTGGGAAAATCATGAGGCTAAACTGTGGCTGGCTGAAGCCAAAGACATGAATATTTAGTATTTGTTGCTGCTCCAACATGCATGCTTCATTCAGGTTTCAAAAGTTTTCTCTGAATCAGAATAATATGTTTTGGAACTGTAACATATCTTTTTACGGACTGATACCTTGTGAATTAGCATGTTCAAAACCAGACACAGCCTGCTAGTATAGTACATAGTGGAATACATTCATATGTAATTAGTATGGTGTTGTCCTGAATATGCATGTAATATTTGCCACTTGATGTTAAACAGCCATCAATAAATCTTAAACATTGATGGAAATTGTAAGTAGGGGAACTGACCCAGTTTCTAAAATAGACTTCTTCAATTTGAAGAACAGTTTGTAATGTATTGACAATTTCCCTGTTGTGAGCTTTATCTTAAATTTCACCTTGCTCATATTTAATTAAAATTTAAGTAAATGCTGCACAACAATTTGATTTTAGCACTCAGCAAATATTTTTACTTGTACTCAAAGACTGCTTTGATTTTCTCTCAGTTTCAGCATCGATTTAAATATTGATGTTTCCCAATGGTCTAGTAAACTAGTTATAAATATTGTTACTTATTCATTCAGAAAGCTCTTAACCATTGTGAAGTAACAATAGCTGAACATAGAGAGCCAAGTACACGTAATTGAAATAGCTTGACAAGTAATTGATCAGTAATATATCATACTCACCAGTTTTAGGAGGTGCAGAAAAACAACATAACCTTCTAAAGTCCTGAGTCAACTATAGTGGATCTTAAGCCATGAGAAATATAACAAATATGTGGAAATATTGTCAGGTTTATCTTTAATATCTAAACTTAGTTTAGGATCATTTAGGAAACTGTTTATCAATAATTAATGCTTAAAGGACCAATCCATGTTCTTTTGTACTGCGATCAGAATAGTTTCAATGTATCAAGTGTATGTAAGCTTAGTAACAATTGTCGGCAACAGAGCTGAAAAGTTTAAATACAAGGAGAATTGAAGTTCTAGTGATGCATTAAAATGCTTGTGTCAGATTTCATAGTACTGACTTGGTGGGAAACAATAGAGTCTGATAACCTTCTTACTGATTTCAATCTATTATTGAGTCTCGCCATCAATAGTCAGTCCCCATTAATTATATTTTAAAGGGATTATACAAAATAGTTAAATAAATTATTTTTAACTTTATCAAAAATAGTTATCATATAACGAAGCCTAAATTAATGAGCCTTTGATTCATATGTAGATATATGAACCCTGTGTTATGAATTGCTTCATTATCACACTTGAAATTTCTGAAGACACCTTGCTTTATGTCTTCTGTTTAACATTTTATTTACTTCAAAAGCTATCGTAGGTCAGATTGATTTTAATTTTTTTGTTTAAGTTTGTTACCGGAACTTCAAAATAATAGAAATATTGTAATTTATTGTAATGATTTGTAACTACTTTTATAAATTGATACAACCATTTTTCTGTTTATCAATTTGTAACATAATTCAATCTAAGCTGGAGATGCATTTTATATAAGCATATTGAATAATGGAATATCCATCCTTGACTTTGATATTGAAGGAGATTGATATTGGTCACTGTCCTCAGTGTTCTGGTTCTAAAAGACCCTGTGTCTATTAAAAGTTATGGCTGACTAAATTAACTATAGAACTATTCTGTTATTCACCAATAGGATTGATTGATTGATTGATGTTTAATGCAACTTTCAGCACTTTTGGTTCCTAGTGGCAGCCAGTTTTTATTTGTGGAGGAAGCTGGAGTGCCGTCAGACAACTACTGACCTACGGCAGGAAAACTGGCAATCTTAGTCGGTTAAGATTAAAATAGAACACACGTGACATCGTAACTTTATTTTTCTAGAAATCTGAAAGGCAATCTTAACTGGAATGCCGTTATAAATGCTTAAGGTTGGCGCCTGTTAAAACGTTTAAACCCGCTGCATTTTTATGCACCTGTCATAAGTCAGGAGCCTGTTGTTCAGTGGTTGTCGTTTGTTGGTGTGGTTCATAAGTGTTTCTCGTTTCTCGTTTTTTATATAGATTAAACCGTTGGTTTTACTGTTTGAATTGTTTTACACTAGTCATTTTGGAGCCCTTTATAGCTTGCTGTTCGGTGTGAGCCAAGGCTCTGTGTTGAAATCTGTACTTTGACCTATAATTGTTAACTTTTTATACATTGTGACTTGGATGGAGAGTTGTCTCATTGGCACTCATACCACATCTTCCTATTTATATTGATTTGGTAAAATCATAAATTCATAGCTTTGGGCATCCTCCTAGAGTTGGAAAGCTATTGCATTTGTTCTTTTATCTTGCAGTACTGCACATATGTGAATTATGCTAATAATGAGTTACATCCTGATGTGTAAAGTTCTCCTACATAGAGGATTTCATTGATGAAATTTGATCAAGAAAAAAAAGTTGGAAACAGTATAGTATAAATTATAAGTTTCCCATGCCCTTCTCAACTTGTTACAATTTCTTGTCGTGATTTGTCAACAAATTGAGGCTTTGAACCTGGCCAACTTAATAGAAAAATTGAAACAAGTATCATGTTATTATATGGACCAAAAAATTGAATGAGTTAAAATATTGCACAATAGATTTGATAACATTACCAATGTCATTTGCTACGTGTAATTTTAGTGTAAAGCTCACATGTTCACACAAGATACATCGACATGTGAACTGTTGTACCTTTAAACATTTTAATCTCCTCTTTAATATATAGCTTTTCAATTTCTTCAGTTAATTTTATACTTTTCAAATCTTAAGTTCTTCACATTAACATAACAGAAAAACGTCAAGATGTGATTCTAACAATGAGTTTCTTTTAAATAAATTTACTGGGCTTGAGTGTGAAATAAGCAATTATTCAAGTGATTTGCTCTTTGAGTGGATTAGCAAAACACTTTTTCAAAATTATAAACTCAAAAGAGATAGTTTTGTAAAAAGAAATTTAAGTGATAGAATACAATGTTTAGGAAGGTAAGAGTATACTAGGATTATTTACCCTGGGAAAATCTCAAATTCAAATCTTACTTTCTGAAGTTAAAGTTATTTAATAGATTGCTCAATTGCACAGATTTAAGAATTAACCTTTTAACTCAGATTTCATGGAGAGGTGATTTTTAACAATTGCTTTAAAAAGGAAAATAAAAATTAAGTGAAAGATGTAAAAATATCATAATGGGTCCGTAATCTTTGCAATATGATGACTTCGGTGTGTCTTTCAGTTTCTTACAATGTCGGACAGCAGTGTCAGAGCTTTAAAAATCATAAAGACAACCATTTAACTCCAATTTGAAGAGATAGATAATATTTTATAGGATGGAAAAGATGACAAAAATTTCATTTCTTTTTATTGCCTAATAATTGAATAGAAAATATGATATTTCCATATTTTCTATATATGATTTTGTTCCCACGCTCTGAAATATAGAGGGTTATCGTATTTAGAATTGAATTTAATAGTTGAAAGATGTACACCTTAAGCACTTTCTTTTTTATCACATTAGCAAGAAGCAATAACAGACTTTTCTCAGACTATTAAAAAAAATTTTTTTGTTATCTATTGAATAATTGTTTTAAATCGAATCAACAACACTTACTCTTTCATCCCTGTTACTAAAATTGGCAGTTAAATAAATCTGCTCTTTTTTAACACTGTTCTGGATGAAGTTCTTTACAACAAGGTTTGGTAGTTCCATGCTTTCCTCTTTTTATTACTATTGGTGATTTCATTTCCAAATTATTTGCTTTTTGTTGATCCTGAGACATTTATGTCGCAAAAGCGAGACATAGTGATCCTAGATTCTGTCGGTGGCGTCAACATTTAGGTTCAGTCTGTGGTTAAAGTTTTTTTTAGACGTCAATAACTTTGTCAAACCTTCATGGAATTTTACGAAAATTTGGACAGAAGGTTGTTTATGACCAGAAGACAATATCCAGAGCTAAATTTTGAAAATATTTATTTTCATTTTCCCGTATTTTACTGATATATGGACTTATCTGCTCTTTGGTCGGGTTGTTGTCTCTTTGACATATTCCCCATTTCCATTCTTAATTTTATTAGTCTTTTTACAGTTAACATTCAGATTTAGTCTGAGGTTAAAGTTTTCAGTCATCAATAATTTTGTCTTTTAGATATAAATTTTTTTCATTGTCAGTATTTTTCTGATAGATGGACTTTAGTATTTTACAGTTAACATTTACAGACAGTTTGGGATTAATTTTTTTTTTACATGATACATTTGTAAACTTTCATGAATTGTTATGAAAATTGGACAGAAGCTGATCTTTGAGACCAAGAAAAAGCATCTAAAGAAAACAATTGAATTTTTTTAAAACTTCTGTATTTTACTGATAAATGGACTCACTATTTAAGTCAATATTACACTTGTACACTGACAAGTCAACATTACACTTATACACTGACAAGTCAACATTACACTTATACACTGACAGCAGCAATCACAGGCAAGACACAGGGTTCCATGGAACCCCTTACTAATTTTTCATCAACATTTACTGTAAGTTTAGAAAATTTCACACACAAAAAATAAGAATGAAAGATTTGAATTAAAATAGGGTTAAATTACACCAGGAGTAGTGCTAGAATCAACACCTTTTGTTATTGTTTCTGTAAATAAAGTAAATGTAGTATCCAAATAAAATGTAATACCAAATTAATTCTTACAGTTCTACCAATATGATATTAGAGGTCAAAGTAAAGTGATAGAAACCTAAACTCATTCTCCATTTTATGCTTTATACTGCATGTTCATCTGATGAAATTTGTATAATATGAATAACAGGGATGTGAAGTATATGTCAATTAGACAGAAACCCATTAACATAAGAAATGAAAAGACGTCTTAGAGGTCAACTTGATGGTCCCAACAATAGACAAGTATCTATATTGTATGTCAAGCCATAAATTGCCTTAACAATAAGTGGCAATTATTTCATACATATTCAGAATGAGAAACCATCAACAATTAATACAATATGTAGGTTCTGTAAGGTAGGTCAACTGGAATAAAAGGTGAGAAGTTTGGACTGCCATGGAAATCATTTGTATGTTGGATAGAGAGCAAAGATTTTGCCGTGCAGCAGGCCCCCTATAAGAGTTGTTGCAAGAATTTTTATAAAGACAGAGAGCCTCCTCATCCTTTCCGATGCATCAGATTTAACATCCCCATTCGATCGGAAGTTGCTGTTTATTTATACATCCTGCACAGCAAAATGGATACCCAACTTAAGCAAGGGTTTTACTTCCGGAACAGAAGTGACCATACTTCTATAATCCAGACAAGTAGTGAATCAATTACCAAGAACTAATAAAGATTTCCCATTAACAAAAAATGTTTTAAAGAAAAAAAAAAAAAAAACATTGCAAAACAATATTTACATGTCAACTACCACTGATGAGGTACCTGATGACCAAACTAGGGATTTTTGTTCACTAAAAGGTTCATATAGCCATGGTGCAAGTTATTGTACACAAAATAAATACATTTTACTTAAGATAGTGTAAAAATTGACAATTTTTGTTTGATTATGCTATGAACTGCGGACCATTTGGAAGTGAAAAAAAGTCAGGCCAGCTACCTCAACCAAATTTTATAAAACTTATACACAAAACTTATTACCACAAAACTCAGATCAAGTACAAATTTGGGTAGCATCACTTTAACCGTTCTTCAGTTATGTCCCTTTAAAAATTTAAATGATATGCAAGTGGGGGCATCATCTCTGTGGCTCATGGACACATTCCCCATTTATTTTTTAAAGATGTCTAGTAAAATAGAATAAGAACAAGTTTTAAATATTCAAGAACAAAAAAGTCTTGGTCTGACACAAACATTGACATATAAACTTATAGTATGCGAGTTGAAAAGATATTTGAGTAGCCTGTACATAGGGACATAGCTCCTAGAACTAGGGTATACCAAACCTTATCAACAATATTTTGTGTGTTCTCATTCAAGTGTTTGATGCACTGCATCTCTATGCTGGTATGCCAGATGAACCCCTTGAATTATTATAGTGACAAAACTGTCAACAGTAATCATGGTAATACAAGTTTAATTATTTTGATGCATATCAAACCTCATTTTTTTTCATTAATGGAAACTTTGAAGTGAGTTCTAAATTTAGTGTACTTGATGTTACTCTGTGAGGAGTGGAAGATGATGTGCAGTAAATGATATTAATTTCTAAAATGTTTTTGACATGCTATTAATCCAGTGCAAATTTGCCAAACAAACAATATATAGCAATATATCTCTGTCATATTAGAAATTTTTGGACCAGATGTGGCACATTTGCAGTATGATAGAGGAGTAAAATTGTTGGAACATTATAAATATCAGTCATTTGTTTGTACATGGTGTTTATAACTAGTGGAATGATCACATCCATCTTTTGACTTACTCCTCCATACAACCTGCTACTGACCCCAATGAAAAAAAATTGATCTCAGTAATATGGTATCAATCATAAAAATATATCATTACTTGTCGTTTCAATATTTATGACCAAATGTTACCTTACAGTAAACAATCTATGACACATAACACTGTTGACAGCTTATGCTGGCTTACATTTGTCATATTTTTATACATGGCATTTTCTTTTTCAGGAATTTTTTTTTTGCTTGACGAAAGAGATTGATGGAGTAGTTTCCCTTATAATCAACATCACATTCAAGATTGTTTTTACAGAAGGTATATTATTTTGAGTATATGAATTTTAGTGAATCATAAAATCATTGAATGGCATTTTGAAAATTTTTGACAATGTAAAATTCTATTCAGTGGAGGTAATAGAAAATTATGGCAATATTGTAGTTTAAAATTTTCAAAACTTACAATTTACTTGTAAAACCAAGGAGATGGGTGTACCAATAAAAACATATGATTAAGATTCTGTGATCATCAAACAATCAGTATTTGACTTAAAAACAGCTTTGAAGTAAAGAGTTTAGAAGATTTGCAAATTAGAAAAATAAATTGTATTCTGATTTTTAAAAGTATATAAATTTTGTTATAAAAGAAACAAGATTTTAAAAAAGTGAAAATTTATTTTCTATGATAAGAATTTTAACAGGCTGAAGACTGCTTCTAAATTATGTTTTTTTTTCAATTAATGCATGATAGTTAGTGATTGTTATGTAATATAGTTATCTGTTGAAGATAAGTTTTAAAATTATGTCCCTTTATAACTGATAAATGTCTCAAAAATTGGGTATAAATCAGCTGTTGTCTCAGACGTAGGATTTTCTTGGAATGATTTGATTTTAACTCAGATGTAACCCATATTGACGATTAGCTAACATTTTATTTTCTTCCTCTGAATGATCTTTATTCTACAATCCTGGCTTTGCCATGATTAGTGATTTACAAGGTGCTGTACTTGAAAATCACATTTCTCTGAATTTAACTTCAGAGACAAAAGTTTTGAAAACTGGTAATAACATGAAGAATGAACAAGAGAAGATCTAGCAATTTGATGGAAAGAATTTTTTTAGGTTTGCTAAAGGGGGTGAGGGTTTATTAGCGTTATTTTTGTCAATTTTTTGTTAGTTTGATCCCTTGACTCATTCAAGGGTCTAGATGGGTAAGAGAACTATTATGTACTCAGAAAACAAGTTCCATTGCTTTCAAATTTTTATGTTTGACCATACCTGAAGAAGGTAAATCCAGAAAGGGCTTAGGATGCACAAAATTTATTAAATGTTATATTCATAAAACACCACATGCTTTATTTTTTATTCAAATTTAGCATATCTGGTATGTGTGTTTCTTTCTTTTAACATGTTGGTGTTAAAGAAGTTATGGTTACCAGTACTCTCAGATACTTTGTTTTTTTCTATGATCTTAGAAGTGTTAACTTGTTTCAATACATTTATGCACTTCTTTTTCTTTTAAAATAAATGCACCAATGTGATATGTGTTGCACTTTGGAGTACAAGTGACATCATGCCACAAAGATTTATGTGTTACAGGAATTATATCTTGCTTATGGAACCAATAAAATGTACAGTTAACTCTTGCTAAATATTATCATGTCACCTGGCACACGAAAACAGTGATGTAATTTTAATGCTGTAGGCATGAACATCAAATACAGAATATCCAAAGCAATAACAATTTACTCTAGAAGTTGTAATTTTCAATTGCTTGTAAATTGTTTCTAGTGATACTAGTGGAGTACAGTAAAATCTTACTCAAAATAATTTCTCACCATCTGAGTTTCACACAGTAATGCAATATTTTGATTCATCACTAAAACATAGACATCAAAGTTACTGAATGTACAGTGAAACCTTTATGTAAAGGTCTTTCTCAGGAGTAACCTTATAAGATAGGTATGGTCAAACATAAAAATTTGAAAGCAATGGAACTTGTTTTCTGAGTACATAAAAGTTCTCTTACCCATCTAGACCCTTGGATGAGTCAAGGGATCAAACCAACAAAAAATTGACAAAAATAACACTAATAAACTCGAACTCCCTGTAGCAAACCTAAAAAAATTCTTTCCGTCTAAATGAGATTCAAAATGTATAAGTATTACTACAGTGGGACAAGAAAAGGATTACCTTTTGCTTGGAAGAGGTTACCTTTATAGCAGGTTTACAGTTTGTATGTTAGGTTTGATCCAACAGGGTTGTGGGCCTAAGTAAATTTAAAACTGTTCACATCATGTAATTGAGTTCACTGTATGGAATCCACACCAGTATGTTTGGATCCTTTCAACATGTCTGCATTCATGTAAGGACTACATCACATCAGTTGATCACTGATATTATCCTTTTTTATGGAGCAGACATGTTGAATAGATCCAAACATACATATATACTGGTATGGATTCATACAGTGGCATAGTCTCTTAATGCACTCTATACAAATTTGTTCAAATATCTACTTTTTCAAATCTTGATAGGTCATTAAAGCATGAGCATGTATGGATAACGCATTTGGCTTTACATTTCACAATAACTCAAGTTTTCATTGACCTGATTGAATTTTCAAAGACCAATTATATTGAATTAATGAAGTAAGCTTGACTCTTATATTAAACCACTTTATAACTACATGGTGATGCAATTAATAGTGTGATGTTTTGCCAGCAAAATTGTGTCATTAGGACATATATTTCTATTTCAATGAATTCCTAATTATTATGTGACCTACTTTCTTTTTGTGTTGTTTTTGTGGATTTGGTTTGCCAGTTCTCAACAAAATATAGGTCATTATATATTTATGTCCAAGATGACTGTGTAAGTTTTATAATTACTGTTTTGTAAGTGATGTGTATAGGGAAGTCTGATCAACAACACATTACAACTGTAGACACTTAATTGTCTGTTGTAAAGTTTGCACCCAAGTACAGTTCTTGTAAGCTAAATGACTTAAAGTCATGAAATTTGATTGGATCTGAATCCATCTATTATGGAGTCTTTCAAGCATCTCACTAGAATTAGTAACTACATCCATGCTTCACTGAATATTTGTAAATTTTGTGTTTTGATACTAAATGGCCTACAGTCATATTTTTGCGTGGTTTGTTTTGGAGGGGGAGCAGAGGAATGGCCTGATACTAAAAAGTGCAAATTTCAGCAATAAAGGAGACCAAGGCTCACTCAGTCAAACCTGTGGATCTGTTCTCAAGATTTTCAGTTTTGTAATCTCATAAAGACATTTTTCCACAAAGGAGTAAGTTCAGTATGGGCCCATTTTGGACTCAAATATTAAGTTCACCATTTCAAGTGTTTCAACTTGATGCAAATATGTGTTAGAATGTGAAACAGGACACTTTTTGATGAGTTTTTCTTAGAAAGCTTTGCAGTTACACCCCAATTAGGTAAAAAATAAGAGATTTTTGTGAAAGTTGACAAAATCTCCAGAACTCAGCCTAGAAAACATAGAGCGCAGATATATTCAACATTAAATATTCATGTCAGATGGTTCATTTGTTATAACAAACATAATGTTAAAAATAGTTTTTGTCTAGGCATGTGCTATATGTTTCTGGACCCAAAATCTTGTTGAAATTTGCATGTGTTTATTGAATTTGGTGGAAAATTAAGATTTAGGTTAATTATAAAGTCATAAAAAGAACACTGATATGTAAATTATCATACAAATATACCTATTTCCTATCAAGTCATTGTCAAGGCTGTAATACATTGTGATAATTGCCATTTAATCCTAATTTGAACATTAAGCCAGAAAAAGGGGCCAAATTGCAACCTAATCGAATACATTCCTTTGTTTGAAAATTGTTGGGATTTTGTGTCACACAGCAGTGCATTGTGCAGCTTATGCATTTCAATCTGAGATACCAATGCAAATAAAGATACTCCTAGGACGGCTGAAAACAATGCCTGAGATATTTTCTAAATAAAACATGATTTATTTTTTCATTGTATATTTTTTAGTTCAATGAAATAAGGTTTAACTGTAATTATGTTGCTTTACTCATTTCAATTTAAAATAAATTATTGATATGTTCCAGGCGAGAAGATGCAGCTAAGGAGATTTAGGAATGGAATAAGTGAGTATTTTTGTTTATTGCCTCAATTCTGTCTGCAGTAAAAAACTGACCAAGTAGAAAGATAATGATGTTAATAATACATGTAAGGCAATAAAATGAGCATGAGATCTAAATAGATTTCCAGGGAATCCTCCATGGCACTTGATTACTACACCTAATTGTTAACAAGATCTAATGTATATATTGATATTCATTCTCTTCATCAATTGTTGTTTACATGCACTTCTTGAAGCAATCAGTCAAGTAAATGATTATATTTACTGATTCAAGATTCTTTTTCCTATTTAATTAAAAAAAACTGCAATAAAGACTGACTGTCCGACAAATATGAATACAGTTAGAATATGAAACATTATTTTAAATGAAATATGACAAATAGATCCTATCAGTTTTGTGCCAGAAATGGGATAATGACAAAGTAAGAGATCTGAGGTCATTGTGCTGGAAGTATAGTATAAATGATGGTTTTTGTACAAAATAGTTTAATCTCTAGTGTGAAATGAAGGCTGTGTATGTGTATTTTTTGTGTTGAATCAAATTTTGAAAAACCTCTCAGCTAGGAAGAAAAACTCGCAAAATCAAAAACACACCCAAGCTATATAAAATGTAATGACAAAATTTTCTTTCAAATTATCCCATTTTAAAAACTTTTATCTAGAAACACAACTATGGCGTTATTTAAAAAAGAAATTTATGATATTTTTGAAGTTAGAAAAGAAGTCAAACAGTTTCTCTCTAAATAGACTTAGCACTCATGGTTTTTGTTAAAGCTGCACATTTAAACCTATTTAAATTGCCAAAAAAGTTAATTTCAGTTACACTGAAGATGTTTATAACTATCACTCTCAGAACACTCAACATTAAACTTACAAAATAAATCCTATGGAGTATGTTTTTATAGAAAGCCACATACCCTGTTTGATAGACAGACAATTTAGTCAACATATTAGACTTCAATGTTTCTAAGTTACCTCTATAAAATAGAAAATTATCTAGAGTAAACACATGTTGTGTGAAGCTATTGATTTGTAAAGTACCCTGCAGGGACATGCCACAGAATATTTTTTGAAAAAATACAGAATCCAGTGATGCTATCTGGCATTCAACTTGTCTTGTGATTATAAAAAAGATTGCAAATGAACTTTTCATATATCTACATTGTCAGGTTACATGCTTAAAGAACTTTACTAACCTTAGAAGTCGAAAAACAAGTCCAACAATACAAGAATCCATTTTATCCACGCTATACTATATTGATGTGGTAACACAACCTTTGTGCCAGCTTCCACTTTTAATTATAACACCTGACTGAAATGTTTTCCCAGGTACGATAATCAATTAAAGGTAGAAAATTCAATAATGTTTATCATAATCAAATGAGTACATTACAACTTATTTACTGTCCCAAGTGTCCAGTAAAACAATGGCTGTATTTTGATCAAGACGGTTTCATAATGTATAAATACATAACTTAAAACTATCCACAAGACTTGATATGTAAAAGCAGTGGAGCCAGGTTTTGTAGCGATATTGATTTTTTAAACAACAGACTGCACAATCTTTTGTTATTGTTGTGAAATGAAGTTGATATTTTTTATAAGAAGTATTTTTCAATGGATAAGAATTTTTACATTTGTTCAGGAAGATAGGATTCGTGAGGTTATTATCCTCAACATTTTTTTATTGTTACCTGATGTTACATAATTACTTCTCCTTATGGATTTTGCTTGCTTTTTCTACCTTGTGTTACACAATGTTGATGTTACCTTAATGAGATTCATTTAATTCCATGGGAACCAAATTTTGTCATTTGGGTAAAAAATTTAGTTCCAAGAATACTTTTAAGTGGCAATACTTTGGGGAATTATAATGGCAGTTAAATTTTTTTATTTTTGCAGGAATCAATAAATTTTGGTCAATTTTCCATTTGCTCTTAGACACAAGAATATATAGCACATGCAAGTACTAACGAGACTATTTACCACAATGTTTATCTATATGAATTACACCTCTCCTGCAATATGTATTTGGTACTTGCATTTGGTCAATATTTCCGCATTCTTTTGTAGGAGAATTGAATTTATGCTATCATTTGACAGCAAATGTTTTCAGTGTTTTCCAGTATGTTAAAATTAAGAATGGAAATGGGGAATGTGTCAAAGAGACAACGACCCGACCATAGAGCAGACAACAGCCGAAGGCCACCAATGGGTCTTCAATGCAGCGAGAAACTCCCGCACCCAGAGGCGTCCTTCAGCTGGCCCCTAAACAAATATGTATACTAGTTCAGTGATAATGGACGTCATACTAAACTCCAAATTATACACAGGAAACTAAATTTAAAAATGATACAAGACTAACAAAGGCCAGAGGCTCCTGACTTGGGACAGGCGCAAAAATGCGGCGGGGTTAAACATGTTTTTTGAGATCTCAACCCTCCCCCTATACCTCTAGCCAATGTAGTAAAAAACAAACGCACAACAGTACGCACAGTAAAACTCAGTATAAGAGTAGTCTGAGTCCGATGTCAGAATAGGAAACAAAAGAAAATAAACAAAATGACAATAATACATAAATAACAACAGACTACTAGCAGTTACTGACATGCCAGCTCCAGACCTCAATTAAACTGATTGAAAGATTATGTCTTCATCATATGAATATCAGGCACAATCCCTCCTGTTAGGGGTTTAGTATTATACCGTCATAAAATATATGAGAAGAACATAACCCGTGTCATGCCAACAACTGATTTTAGAATAAATGTATTTAATTCCGATGCAAAGACCCTATAAGTGAATCAATATTAAAGCCAAAATATGCAATCTTTAATGACCTGACAACAGTATCGTAACTATATCCCTTCTTAATAAGTCTGTTTAAAGGTTTTGTTAGCTTTTGAGGTGAATACTGACATTTTTATACGACTGCAAAAAATTTCGTTGTCGTCTGGCGTCGTCCAGCGTCGTGCGAAGACACATTGGTTTTCGCACTCTAACTTTAGTTTAAGTGAATGGATCTCTATGAAATTTTACCATAAGGTTCAATACCACAAAAGGAAGGTTGGGATTGATTTTGGGGGTTATGGTACCAACAGTTAAGGAATTAGGGGCCAAAAAGGGGCCAAAAATAAGCATTTTGTAACTTCCAGACATAACTTGTGTGTTAGTGTATGGATCTCTCTGACATTGTACCACAAGGTTCCATATCACACAGGGAATGCTGGGATTGAATTTGGGGGTAATTGCCTCAAAATATTAGGAATTAGGGGCCAAAAAAGGGGCAAAAAACAAGCATTTTCTAGTTTCATGACAATAACTTGTGTGTAAGTGTATGGATCTTTCTGAAATTGTACTACAAGGTTCCATATCACAAAGGGAAAGCTGGAATTGAGTTTGGGGGTAATTGCCCAAAACGTTTAGGAATAAGGGGCCAAAAAGGGGCCAAAAATAAGCATTTTTCTAGTTTCCAGACAATAACTTGTGTTCAAGTGTATGGATCTCTCTGAAATTGTACCACAAGGTTCCATATCACACAGGGAATGCTGGGATTGATTTTGGGGGTAATTGCCTCAAAATATTAGGAATTAGGGGCCAAAAAAGGGGCAAAAAACAAGCATTTTTCTAGTTTCATGATAATAACTTGTGTGTAAGTGTATGGATCTTTCTGAAATTGTACTACAAGGTTCCATATCACAAAGGGAAAGCTGGAATTGAGTTGGGGGGTAATTGCCCAAAACGTTTAGGAATAAGGGGCCAAAAAGGGGCCAAAAATAAGCATTTTTCTAGTTTCCAGACAATAACTTGTGTTCAAGTATATTGATCTCTCTGAAATTGTACTGCAAGGTACCATACCACAAAGGGAAGGCTGGGATTGAGTTTGGGGGTGATGAATCATAAGGGGGTTCAAAAAATTTGGGGGGGGGGATTTTTTTTTTTTTTCCTTTTTTTTTTCTTTTAAAATTTTCCATTTTAAGTTGGTTATTTCTGTTTTATATTTAAAAGCAAATAATAATGATATGGTAGGAGATACACACCAAACAGGATGTGTGAATTATTATATAATAAGTATTGTGCAATAGCAAGAAATTTTCAATTGCACAGTATTGCACAATAGCAAGAAATCTTCAATTGCACAGTATTGCTCAATAGCAAGAAATCTTCAATTGCACAGTATTGTGCAATAGCAAGAAATATCCAATAGCACAATATTGCACAATAGCAAGAAATTGTCAATTGTACAGTATTGCGCAATAGCAAGAAATATTCAATTGCACAGTATTGTGCAAAAGAAGATACTTCGTATAAATTGCTTATTTCTTGACCAATTTCAATGGGGTTTTATTCTTGAATTCTTGGGGTTCTTTAATATGCTGATTCTAACCGTGTATTAAGTTTTTGGATTTTGGGCCTCGTTTTTAAATTGGTCCACATTGAGGTCCAAAGGGTACAAAATTAAACTTTGTTTGATTTCATCAAAAATTGAATTATTGGGGTTCTTTGATATGCCAAATCTAACCGTGTATTTAGATTCTTAATTTTTGGTTCCGTTTTCAAATTGGTCTACATTAAGGTCCAAAGGTTACAAAATTAAACTTAGTTTGATTTTAACAAAAATTGAATTCTTAGGGTTCTTTGATATGCTGAATCTAAACATGTATTTAGATTTTTGATTATGGGCCCAGTTTTCAAGTTGGTCCAAATCGGGGTTCAAAATTAAACTTTGTTTGATTTCAACAAAAATTGAATATATGGGGTTCTTTGATATGCTAAATATAACCATGTATTTAGATTTTTGATTTTTGGGCCCCATTATCAACTTTGTCCACATTGAGGTCAAAAGGGTCCAAAATTAAACTTTGTTTGATTTCATCAAAAATTGAATTCTTGGGGTTCTTTGATATGCTGAATCTAACCATGTATTTAGATTTTGGATATTGGACCATAATAGGTGAATGTCCAATTAAAAATTTTTAAGATCTTAGACCACATTCATTCTGTGACAGAAACCTATGCTGTGTCAAATATTTAATCACAATCCAAATTCAGAGCTGTATCAAGCTTGAATGTTGTGTCCATACTTGCCCCAACTGTTCAGGGTTCGACCTCTGCGGTCTTATCAAGCTGCGCCCTGCGAAGCATTTTATTGTGCTTTGTAAAGAAGTATTACCATAAAAGATTGGATGTGAAATACCCGAACGTATAAGATGTCTGCATGTTTATCAAACATACAAAGCTATTAAATATTTTGTTTTAGAGTTATCTTCATGTTCAATTATAGATCACATGATTAATGACAAGACCAAGAACAAAAAGTAACATGATAACTTTGGTAAACTTTATTATATAGACTTAGGAAACAGGAGCTATTAAGTTAATTATGTGCAGTTAATACTAGTTATTCTGTCTGTTCGATATGTCTGTCCATTTTTTTGAAATATCGTTGAATGAACAGACTTATATGAGACAGAGAAAATTACTGGCCAGTAATGTATGTGATAGGAATTTGAAATGGGTAGATATCCTTTGAGTTATGACATCAGTATGATTCAAATACTTTAACATCTTTTAACTTTAACTTTCCTATTTTACTTTAAAATAAAAGGTCAAAAGGGATAATAAGGTCAATTATTTTTCCATAGCAATTTCAGCTTTTAAATTCTTTATCGTAAATCTTTTTGAAATCAATGAACCTTACTAACCAGAACCAGAAAGTTAGTTTTGTATGATGTCTTCTTAACAATAGCTGAGGTTTGGAATTGATAACTTATAAAAGTATTCCATTCAACATTAGACATTGTATGATATTTATCTGTCGTCCCTCTTGTTTAAAAGATTGTTTGATTATCATCTTTGATAAAATCCATTAAAGTTAATTGTGGACTAATGTATTGCCATTATGACCATCAATGTGGTCAATTTTTTACTAATTACTGGTCCCGGGATGTTATAACAATCTGTTGTAGAACATTGAATGATTTTATTGATAGTTTACATTGTAATATAAAGTGATGGATTGTACAGGTTCACTCTAGTACTTTGTCCTGTTATAACAACCCACATCACAGAATCAAATAATAATAGCAAAAATAGCAACATGGAAATCATCACCAACCATGTTGATTTGAAAAACAGCAACTGCATAAAAATGTGTATAAATATTGATCAAATTTCTGAGCTTGTACTTAAAAGACTTATAGAATTTCAAATACAATTTCATCAGCAGAATATGCAAGAAGCAAAGAACTAAAGCTGCAGAAAGTATTAGAAAGTCATTGATTGAAAGGTAATTTTGTAAAGATTATGGTTAAACACCAAGGACCTTTTCTAATATAATAATACAAGATGTACTGGATGAACTTTAGGTAAACAACCACAATGCCACCACAGCCACCTGTATAGAAATTTAAATTATTTTTGAATATTTTGCTGGATTGAAGTACATTTCTGGTCCTGAAATCATTTATTTCTTGATTTTTTTTTTATAAAAAAGGCATATTTCAAAAGTAATACTTCTCATAAAAACAAGGAAGGACAGATTTTTAGTTCTATTTAGACTGGAGGAAGTTTTTATTTATCCATTTTGATGGAAGTTGAGAAATGATTGCTACCATATTTTGATGATTAGACGCTAAGTAGCCTATATCCGTGTATGTTGTTTGTTTTAATACATAGAAAGTAATGAGGCATCATGCTTTCTTTCTCTTAAGTAAACCATTTGCACAAGGATTTAGACTTCTTGACAGAGTTTGAAGTATCCTTGAAAACTAAATCTGGGTTTTAAAATCTGTTGATATAATTTGAGGAAGGATTTAAGGAATCTAACGGTTAATAATCCCAGAAGTGTTCTATCCCTGATCCATGCACTGTGTGAGATCGGTAAAGAAAGAAAGATAAAACTTACTTTTTTATGTGATTCAACATGTTCTTCATCTGCAAAAGAAAAAGATAAATGTAAACAAATTGACGTAATTTTAGAATACAAATGATCAGCAAGTCACTAATGAAAGTGTATTTCAGCTATTTAACCCTTTTCTATGCCGTTAGCCATTAGAATATTAATGAACATACCAGAGCATACATTTGAACTGTCTTTGTTGTGGTGATTTCTTAAGAAGGCAAAGAAGTCATTTGCCTCAGAAGACATTGAGAATAGATAAACATGCTCTTATCCCTGTAGTGCAGTTGTGTCATTTGTCTTTTACAGAAATAATCATAAAGCAATTGCTGTAAAATCCAATTGCAAAAGTTCAGAGAATGATTAACTTATGGCCAAATCATTCTGTCCCTGCATGGCAATCGTAAAGATAATTAACCCTCACCGGTGTCTAATCATTAGGTAATTTGAAGAAAAATGGATTGGTCTTTTGATTCAGACAAAGTATTCGTAAAATTTTGATAGAAAGCCAAATATAAAAAAATAACTTTTGACTGAGAAAGAAAGCTGAAATTTCTAGAAAATGTTTTATGTATTTATTGGACCCAAAATATGTTGTTTCAGCTCATCCTATTTTTTTTGTCGTCCCTGTAGATCTCTTGTCAGTATGACTTTGTTAGACTTTTCACAGAGTTTTTTTAACATCTTCCCTGAAACTATCAAGTGAATTTAAACCAAGGGTTCAATTGTCATTTAAAAGTTGTAAGTAAAACAAAACACACTCTTTCAACATGATTTATTAATTTTTCAGATTTCTTATTTTTGTTGTACTTTTAAAAGTTAAATTTTTTTCATTTTCTTATGAACATTTATTAAGCCTTTTTTCAACATGTATAACACATTTCTTACTTGGCTGCTATGAACATTTTGGTCCATTTGGATATTGTGGGATAGATAGAGAATGAATATTAGTATGTTATGACCTTATGTATTCAAGGTTATAAAATTGTATAGAAAGTAGAGAAAAAGTGATGTATTAGCTGTTTTATTTGATAAAAGTTACTTTGCTGTCAATCCTTATGTTTAATTTAGCTTTCATATTAAGATTCTATCTATTGAAACAGGTAACTTCTTGAATAACATTATAAAATTTATGTTCGCAATTATTTTTACTGGATAGAATTCCCAGGGTATATTTTATATGAACAAAGATGCACAAATTGAAATTTAAATGTCTATAAATTTTGAGAGGTGTCCTGTTTAGTTCAGTTTCCCACCCATTACTTTGTATAATATGAGATAAAATAAATCACCATTAAATGGAATTAAAAGTTAAACTTCCCTCTTCACAAGATATGTGCGAGACCAAGTACGTAAATGGCATTGTTTGTCTAAAGTCTGTTGATCAGAGCCTTTGTTTATAAATTGAGTGACCTGATATTTTAGGAATTTTATTCACAGCATGTTCAATCAGTGTTGGTAAAATAAATGGTCAATAGTTAAGTTTTCTAGACCTGAAATTTGTTTGCTTAAGATTTTGAGTCGATCAGATTGTCACCCACTTACTGGGTAAAGATTTTAAAGGAAGGATATATTTTATTTAATCTTTGTTGAGATTTCAGGAAATTGTATAGGACAAGTGTATCCTAAGTTCCTTTTAACTAATAGAGTTACAAAAACCTCCTAAAAAGTTCAAATTTGCATCTCATTATCCACAAGTTAATTCACACAAAATGTAAATTAATGTCCTATTTAAATGATTAATCTTGTTTTCAATGCAGTTGCAATTTTTTTGTAATAGCATTAATTGTAGGTGGACATTTAAAGGGTCTTCCTCTCTTAAAGGTTTAAATAATGAGGTTTTTCATTCACATGATAACAAAAAGTTTCTAAAAAGAAAAATGTGTTAATGATAATTTATGTTAGCCAGTTCATTGACAGGTTGAGAGTATATGGTTAAACTTGTGTGTCTCAATACTCTTTCATTGTATTTTCTGAAGGAATATCTGAATTTATGGGAGATTATCTTATGAATCTGTGAGGGTTATCAGATTTTATGCATATTGATATCCTAAAAATATCTACTGGTAGTTTCAATTTAAGGTCAACAAGCAGCTGATGATTTCACATAAGGAAAGCATTGATGTTGTCTGCTCATGATTTCTGCAGTATAGAATTTAAGAAAATAGTTATGTTCAAATGTTGCAAACTTCAATTTCTGCAGAGATTTTTGGTTGGAATTTATAAAAAAAAACCTCAATGACTACTCTGATATTGTAACAGGAATAATAACCATACTGAATACTTCTATACCAATTTATTTCACAGAAAAGTAAGGAAAACATGTATTTACAAATACTAGACAATGTGATGTTTAAATAACATGCAACATAGCTATTTGACAGTCTGGACTATTAAGTCTAAATGTCAAATGGACCAGGTACACTGTTATGTAATTTAATGAATTCTGTTTCTTTCAATTCCCTTTCCAATAGTATTAAGAATAATTCTTTTCTGATAAAGAACTTTCTTGCATGCAAAACAATAATAAACTGGTTAAGAAGATTGAAAACATTTTGTCTTGTGATTTCAGATTGACATGGAGTTATAGGAGTGATGTATTGACTTTGTCATGAGAAAGGGAATTATAGAGTCTACAATCAATCCGCAGACTAATAAGATCTGAAACAAAAGACTTCTGAAGACATGACATCCATTCATTGCTATTGATGTAATGTTTCAGGTATAGTAGATAGTCATCTTGTAAACACCCTCCATGCACCAAGTAAACTTGTAAACACATGTTACATGGATGTACTGAACTCCTCAAGTACCATATAGTACATGTAGTTTTAATATGCTCAAGAACCATTATAACATTTGACAGAGAGAACATGGTGATGTAATGAAATCTTTTGAAAACATAGTTTTCTCTCGTCTTGATACTTCTCTGGAATTGGATGTCTTTGAAATATTGATCAGACAATTTTTTATGCCCCCACCACAGCAGAGGGCTTCAAGTTTTATCCTTGTCTGTACGTCCATCTGTCCGTCTGTACATCCTAAAATTAGTTTCTGTTCTCTAACTTTAATTTGACTCAACCAAATGTTATAAAACTTATACACAATGCTTATTACCATTTTATTACCAAATTTGGGTGGAGTCACTTTCACCGATCTCAAGTTATGTCCCTTTCTAAATGGAAAAATTGCTAAATTTGCTGTTTCGGCACTCTAACTTTAGTTTGCCTCAACCAAATGTTATGAAACTTATTCACAATTCTTATTACCACCAAACACGGATCAAGTTCTTTGTTTATGTCCCTTTGTGAATTAATACATTGCAGAATTTGCCGAATATTTACAAGCAGGGGCATCTGTGTCCCATGGACACATTCTTCATTTATTTTAGAAACTTACAAGAATTTTTGGATATGAAATTGTTATTTACTGACAAATTGGGAGATAAATAGGAGATAAATAGGGAAGGGTACTTACAGTAATAGTTATTAGGCAAGAATAAGTTTTCATTTTAAGAATATATTTTACTATTGTACAAAGCCTACAAAACTCCTTTATTGTTACACCTAGTACACACATATATATGACTACTAAAAATTTATTAAAAAATTAATCAAAATGTCTTAGTAGAAGTTTTTTAATTAAATTTTTCAATTACTGCACCAGGTATACTTTAAAAAGTGACAAACAGTTACATAAGAGGCTGTCATAATTCAGGTCAACAACATTATAACAGGTGACTAACAGTTAACATACAAGTCGAGGAGGAAACATCAATATTTACAGTTAAATGCATCTGCAATATACTCTGCCATGCTAATGCTGCACAGAATATAAATCATCAATATTATTTATCAAACACATTTGTATTTCCTGATTTTCATTGCTTGATCAATAATCTTGAATATTAATTGAGTTTGGCTATGTTTGGGAGTTGATACACTGACCCTATAAATATGTATTTTTTTGCCTGGTTCCATCCAACCATGATCTACTTACCTGTCAGATGTTCACAAGAAATTTTCACTCAATTTCACTGCACAACCTTTTTAATGTCTATAGATTTGTTCATAATTTTATGCATCATTTAAATGTTTATAAATTGATCTGATCTTATGGTGAACTTACCCTTGTTAAATTTCATTATTTATTCATGGCCAAATTGTATTATTTTTATGCTTTGATGTTTATTGTTTATCGATATTCATTTTGATGTGTTTATTTTGGAACTAAATATTTCAACAGAAGGGTATTTGGCCATTATCTGTTTGCTTTTAGCCATTTGTCCATTCTTATCAATTGATTTTAGAAGCAAGTTATGTTGAATTGCTGTAAGCCATTTAGACCACAAGAGAGAAAAAAAAGCTATGTAGAAATCAATTTTTCGGGAATAACTTTTTTCTAATGTGTAACCAGGTAGAAACAGTTTACCTGGAGATGACAGCAATATCATATGACAGCTCTGATCATCTGAAACAACTGAACATTTAGATGCCTCATTGAATTTCAAGTGTATTATTGTCTCATGCCAATTGATTCCTTTGTATTTATAGTTTTTGGAGAAACCCATTTATATTGCTTAATTAGAAGTCTGAAATATTTTGTGTAAATCTCTGTGGTATTTTGATTATTTGCATTTCTAGGAATTTGCTGATTTCAGATAGTGATTCAGTCATAGAACAAACACTAGGAAAAGAGGTTTAAGTCTAAACACCACTTAAAGATGCAGATATTGTGATTTTATATTTTAGGTGTTTCAGAAAAATTGCTATTTTAATATAATTCAGGATGGTACTAGCTACTTTGATATCATTCTGAGAATACAGCAGATTTTCGTGACAATTAGTGATTTATATATTCAGTTTCCTTCTAGTGTAAAACTTGTACTAAAACAAGTCAATCATAGGCCTTCAGTGATTTATTTTCCATGTTATATTTATTACTGAAAATTTATAACTAATAAATTGCTTCATCATTAATAGTTGGTTAACATTATAAAAATCCATGTGCTATTTACCAATGGATACAAGCATGGAAATAATCAATCAATCAGAAACAAGGTGTTTTCAAGAGTTATGTCCCCTCTTATTTTCTGAATGGCTCTAATATGACAGGTTTTTAATTTCAAAAAGTCAAGCATCTACTGTATTATGAAGAATTTGATAATCTATACAACTTTTGCAATTTATATGAGCTTCAATACTCCTTGTTCAAATAATTTGTTAATTTTGTTTTCTCATTATTCTATATCTGTTATTCATTTTACCTAACAATTTATAAGAGTAAAGTAGTTATTGAAGTTGAGACTTCTGAGCCTCAGGGTCGAGACTTGAATAATAATTGTATTTGAGTACACTCAATTTCTTTTTTTTAAATTTTTATGGGGAAAATTGTTATTTGAGATGGAAATTATATAGTCACTCCTAAAATTTAATAAATATTTCAAATATTTGCTAGTTAGTAACTAAAGTGCATTAAATTGTTTGTTTTTAAAAGATAAGACATTATTAATTGTTTAAACATAATGGATCTTTAACAGATAGAATGCTATTTACTTTATTATTTAAATTATGAAGTAATAATTATTATGAATAAAACACCAGACATACTTATTTCATTCTGTAGGTATATTTTTCTTTTGTGGTCTTTAAGAGGATACAAAAATATTTAAAGATGATTTCATAGTTAATGAAAATTATTAATACATTATAGACCTTTGAATGCTAAATATTTTACATGAATAATTCAAATATTAAAAAAATTCTTACCATTTAGTCCTAGGTGTATCCAGTACATTCCAATTAGGTACTCAATATAAAAAGTCCACACTAGTTTCAAATTAGTCCATGAGAAAAAAATATTGTGTCATAAAATATATTTCCTCATTTGTTTTAAAGGTAAATGAAATATAATTAATTTACCTGGTAAAAACATCCATTATTACATGTATTACGGTCTTATGAATTGTCAACTTTGACCTTGCATTTAGCTCATCAAGTGTCTCAAGACCGTGGGAAAACTTTCAAGCTTAAATATTGATATAAAAATTAAGTGACATCACTTTATTGTTGATAAACTTTTACCTGTAAAATATACCTGTCGTTCCTTTAAGGTAATACTACTATCAGTATAAAATATCTTATAATGAGTTTTCATGGTTTATTATCACTTTCATTCTAAGATCTGTAACAATCATCACTTGAGGGGTCAGAATAATCGAATCGGAGAGAACAGGAAAGATGATGGGACAGTTACTTTTTATGGTAATCTACCCACTGATCATTATCTTCTTGAATTTGCATTCTGTTTTCAATAAAACAGTATATTTATTGAGCTATTCTAAAGTTTAGAACCTATCATCTTTAAATCAGTTAATATAGGGTCTGTTCAATGGAGTGATGATGGATCTACCTGACTACTGCTCTATTCAAATTAAACATCCATCAATTGTTGTGGGTCCTCTTTTATAGTTAAATAGCATCATAATCGGTAGGGGTTAATATGTATTTCTTATCATGTCTTAATATCAAAGAATTCATAGGAAAAGGTGCTGACATCGCTATATTTCAGATGAGTGAAGAAATCCCTGATGGAAATAGCTTAGTCATATTTTGATCTTGTGTTTTTACATTAACCCTCTAAGTGGAGGTAAATGCATGAAACAGAACATCAGTCATGGTATTATTGCAAATTACCCATATTTGTTTGAGGTGGTAGCCAAGGGTCTGATATGGGTAGATGTGAAAGATACAGAGTTTAAATTATAAAAGAGTGGTTTTATTTGGGGGGGTCCAAAGTAAAAAGTAAAAAAACTGACTTATGGTAATGTAGGATGGATGGACAGGCAGGTGGGGAAAAGAAAGAAACCTAATTTGTGTAATGAAATCCTCCTTCAGTTTTCCATCCAGATCCTTAATCTTCACATATAGGTTGCACACATGTTGAAGTTGTGCATCTGATATGATTGAATTGTTTGAGGAATGTCAAGACTAGGGAACTTAGTCACTTTCAGCACTATTTACAGTTTTCAACCAGAATCCCTGAACTTCATAGAAAGATTGTACAACTGTTGAAATTGTGGATCTGCTATTATGGAATTGTTTCGGGAGTTTTTCACCATTTTTTCAAAAGCAGGGTCAAATTTGTGTAAACAACTCCTACTACGGTTTCAATCTGGATCCCTGGAACATTGCAGAATCATTGCACATATATCGCAGTTTTGCACATGCTATTATAGAATTGTTTGTGGATCTGACCTTATTCAGCCATTTGAATATTTGATATAATTTATCTCATTCAAAATTTAAATTTTTTTTATGCCCCATTTATGGGCATTATGTTTTTTTCAGTCTGTGTGTCCTTTCGTCTGTTCGTTTGTCTGTTCCTCCGTCCTTCCATCTGTCCCGCTTCAGGTTAAAGTTTTTGGTTAAGGTAGTTTTTGATGAAGTTGAAGTCCAATCAACTTGAAACTTAGTACACATGTTCCCTATGATATGATCTTTCTAATTTTAATGCCAAATTAGAGTTGTGACCCCAATTTCACGGTCCACTGAACATAGAAAATGATAGTGCGAGTTGGGCATCCGTGTACTATGGACACATTCTTGTTTTTAATGTTTACTTTCCCCGATGTGGTAAAAAAATTTCAGAACTTTAGTAGATGACAAGTTGAAAATTTCTAAGTGATTGAAAATCATACTTTTACATAGAATCAAATTATTT